CCGCACTGCGCCAAGCAATGGGCTAAGCGGCTAGATGGTGTCGAAAACCTTGCGGCGTCGACCTCCGTGAATGCACTGCTCAGGTGCTACCAGTAGCAGCCTATCTTTCGACAGGCAGACAAGGCGCACAACGACAAGTCCATGAGGTACACTGATTCTACAAACAGCCAAGGAGCTAAGCATGAACAACATCCCTGCCCCACATCGAACTGACGAGAATTCAACCGGTACTTAGGATAATACTGGGGGACTAAGTCACTAAGGTATTTTTAGTACGAGAAAGCCGATGCACTGGGGCAAGCTTGAGACGGTCTTGCGCCAGCGTGAACTTGCCCTCACCGACGGCGCCACCCACGAAGGCAAGCTCTGTGCCGACAAGCGCCAAGGACTTGTCGCCTAGGCTGCACAGGTTGCTAGTTGACGGTCATTACAATCAGGATCCTACTAGTTATAAGGCTCAAGTCAGGGCCACCTATTTTCTGCAACTCAGTATGTTCCAAAACAACCGGGTCGGCTCAGGTGTTGGACCATAAGATGTTTTGTTGCAGGCTAGTACAGAAAACCCTCAATAAACATGAAACATGCAAGATCATGTAAGGAAGCAAGAGTGGAGAAGAATATGGAGAGAGAGAGAGAGAGAGAGAGAGATCCCAAGCCGCGATCAAGTTGCTTTGAATGAGGATCCAACTGCCATCTCGCGAGAGCTCCCGGCAAACTCTCTCAACACGGCACCAGCCTCTTGGCAAGGTTTGTAAACAGGTTGTTTTGAAACAGCCTGAGCGCATGTACAGGTGTAGAACCTTCGAAGGTAGACCGTACTTTCGGTCGGCTGCCAGGGCTGCGCTGGTACAACTTTGGACCAGACTCAGGATCCACGGCGTAGTTGTTCGACGACAGGACCATGTCAAACACACCCTGCCCACCAGCTAGTACATGATGCAAACACATACGTAAACAAGTCCGTATCGAGTTTCGCCGCGGATAAACTCACGGCCTTCCGTTTGATGTGCAGAAATTTGAATGTAATTGCGAGCTTGTGACCGCAGTGACCCGCGTCTGACTCTTACATGCATGCGTTCATGCAAACAGGCATAAACGAAGCTTGGTGCCAGTATCGCCGCAGGCATGACTACCGTGACTTGCTACGCTCTACTTATTGTTGCGTTTATGTCTTCCGTTCTTGCTTCTGTCGTGCACTTCAAGGCATTGATGGAAACACACATTGACAGATCGAGTACGTTGATCCCAATGTGTGAATGCAGAGGGTTTATACCCAGGAGCTTTGAACCACCGAAGCATCTGCCAGGCTTCGAAAGATGCAGCCGGAGTTGCTGAAGGCGACTGTAAGCTGTGAGATTAAACGTCAGGCCAGGCATCGAGATTCTGAATGTCATCCGAAAAAACTTCATTCCTGTCAAGACCGAACTAGGCAACACAGGTACGTTGTCTGCCTCTTTGAGCCCAGCTGATGGGGCCCAGGACCCTCCCGTCATCTGGGCAGTCAACCACCTCATATTCAGGCC